AAGAAGTAAAAGAAATAATTTCTTTCTGCTTGCTTGCTTGTTTATCCGCCGCGTTCAATGCGCAGGTCACACTTCCATCACGTGAAGGTGCACAAAACGACAATTTTTCATTGATATACTCGTCTATCGTCTGCTAGCCGAATCGGTAATTTTATCTAACATATACATTAAACAATAAATTCTATGCAGACATGATATTTTTTGTAAGTTTGAGTTAACATTTAATTTAGAATATAACATTATAGGCTTATTTACTTATACATCGTTAACTATACATCTACTAATACAGCATATATATATATATAACCTTACACACAAAAGAAATGTATACAGAATTAGAATGGTGTGTGGGAAAAGGCAAACAGTAGCCTAGCCTATAAAATAAACTTATACGGTCTGCCACAAAATAGACTTAAGTGAAAAGAGTAAAGCTTAAATTATACTTATTGTGTACAATGAGATTAAAGTCAAGTCAGGGTATCTGATAGAGCTCTTTCATGAGGTGGAAGATGGGTTGAACCTGGAAATTGTATTATTTTTTTTTAATAGCATTATAATAGATAGGCTTATTTATTTATAGATTATTAATTACACATCTACTAATACATCATATATTTAACCTCACACACAAAAGAAATGTATGCGGAATTAGAATGTTGTGTGTGAAATAGCAAACAGTAGTCCTAGCCTAAAAAATATAAGTATGCTGTCTAACATAAAATAGACAGAGTGAAAACAGTAAGGCTTACTTTATAATACTTATTGTGTAAAATGAGATTAAAGTCAAGTCAGTGAATGTATTTTATTCTACTTTTTTTCTCTTGGTGGTTTTATACCTAGATGTGGATTTTTTTTTCTTTTGATACATTATAAAGTACAATATTGCATTATGTTTGTGGTACATTTTATACATCAGTGTCAGTACGTTATCACATTCATAAAGATATATGTAAAAGCAAATTGAACATAATATTACATATATATTTACGTTTGAAAATTTAATAGTTGAGGAGGGATGGGGGGGAATAGAGCTAGGCTTATCATTTGCACCAGAACGGATACTCATAGTGTATAAGATAATGTACATATGCTCCATAAGGGCATATTTATCTTTGCCAGTGAGAGAAAAACAAAATGCATTGTTCATAAGGGAGCCCTGATTAAAAACAAATTCATAGTTTATTTTCAAAAATCAAACATAAAGTTGTTTTTTTTTCATAAATTCACAAAGTACTTTTTACTTATCTAAATTTGAACGGGGAAACAGGGGGTAGGTTTTTTTTTGGGGGGGGGACTCGGAAACGCTACTAGTTTACTATAACGAATTCCAAAACATTGATTTTTCCGATTGTTAATTGTGTTATTATATTTCGTGAACTTGTTTTCCACAGTCAGTCTGTAACCACAGTGTTTATGAAGGTTAGTGTTGTTTTACTGAACCGCCAAGAGAGAAGTGTTCGATTTGTCATTCCAGGTGGTTGTAACCTATCGTATTGATTTGGGTGATACCACTACAGTGAGTGGGAAGTTTGATTGGAGGCTTACCGTTCGTGTGCACGAGCACAATTGCCATCTGCCGTTTTGCGTAAGAGTTAAGTTGAATTTCGGCCCTACAGAGTAAAGTACGGACTTGCACAAAATTCGGTGATTTGGAGACATCATGCTGCTATAGCTTAAAATTTTATATTTGTTTATTTCACCCATTTTTCCCTCTCTCGGAGCCTCTAATCGAAATTGTGTAAACGATTAAAGGTTAATGAATTAGTGCAGTATTGGTTCGCGTTTGACTTAAGTCGTGATTGTGGTGGGCACCTCAGTACAAGTACGTAACGTGCCACTGAGAAATAATATCATTATTATATTTAATACAATAAAAAGGGTAGGTACCTTAGCAGTCTAGTAATATACGAGTTGCTTCAAAAATTGTAACGATTTTTTGTTGTTGTTGGAAAGTAAATATTTTAAAAGTGTTATATTTCTGAGAAATGCATTTAAATACTGATTGTACATATTTTACATATGCAATATTACGTTCATTTTGTTTTGTAGTGTAGGAAATATTATCAAAATTGGATAGTAAACAGAAAGGATTAAAAAAAAATTATTGTGTTAATAACTTAGAATTTTGTGAAGAAGCATACAATGGATTTTTGAAATAGATGATTTACTTGCACTGTTGGTGTGTACAATTCAATCTGGTTTACACTCACTAATGTCGTTTAAAGTTGTGAATCAGGATTTGTATTAAAAAGATGTAATCAGCTGTTTGGGTAACTCGGCAAACTTGCATAAAATCATCATAAATTGAGTGTAAACATAGTAGAGTTCTTTAAACCAGATAAACATAATAACGTTACAGTTATACTTATCATAAGATATTAGGTTTATTATATTTTTGAAAACTACATTCTTTATCTATTCCCATGAGATTTTCATGAATTAGAATAGTGAATAATAATAGTATTTCAACCCAGTATATTTGCCATATCCATTACCAATGACACAAATATAGGGTGGTTGTAATACTGTTATTATACACCCTTCTAGTTCTTTCCATGGGTCAATATTAAGTTTTATGAATTTGCAGCACTGAAATTTATGTACTGAGTACAAATAGACCAATGTGTTGTTTTGGGCTAAAATAATATTAGGCTTCAGCTTCACATAGTAAAATTTAAATGTCTGCCAAACTAGAACTGTTTATCCAATCAATTTATCCATTTAATCTGTATTTTTGGGAAGTGTTTTTGGAAATAGTGTTTTTAAAACATTTAGGCACCACTGCTGTATATTTAGTTTAATACTATGAATAATGCTTAGAGAGGCTTGAATGGGTAATAAAAGAAAAACTTTAATATAAGTTTAACATAACAGCAAATGTACCACATTTCGAAAAGATTTTGTCATCATCAGGTACAAGTAGTTTACACTGGCACAGATATATATACACATACACACAGTATGGAACAAAGAGGTCACATGACTGGATACTGTTGCAAGATTTATAAGAGATATCTTGGCATCCCAGGGTGTTGGTTTAGAGTAGGGTTGTTTTGTTCAATTGAGGTGGATTCCTTGATTTTTCATTTGTTTATTTTTGGTTCTTTGTTTAAAATTACTGTGTTTTTAATAGATATACTATGGTTTTTGAGTTGCAATGGTGGAAAACATGGGACAGTTTTTTATTGTGTTCTGTGAATCTGGTTTCCAATTTTCTTCTTGTTTCTCCAATGTTGAATTCTGGGCAGTTATTGCATGCTATTTTGTAAATGATGTTGGTGTTGTGTGATTCTAAATAATTTTTGTTAGCAAGGATTTTAATTTAGGGCCAGGTTTTTTGAGAGAATTTGACGTTGACAGGGATATTATGTTTAATGGCTGGTTTTGTCCAGGTGTGGATAATTCTTGAGCTGGTTTCAGGGACAAAAGGTAAACTGCAGTGTAATGTTCTGTTGTTGGATTTGTTAGTATCAATTTTGTTTGTGAGTTGAGTTTTGTTGTGGGGAATGTTGGAGAGTTTTCAAAAATAGCTGGTGGAAATTTGTTGGTGTGAATGAAGGAATACTTTATGTGGTTGATTTCTTCATTTATGTAATCCATTGAACAGAGTCTTGTGGCTGAGTTTAGAACAGAGTCTTGTGGCTGAGTTTATGAGTTTTTTGATTTTTTGTGTGATATCATGAGTGGAATTCCAGGGGATGTGTGTGTTCTTACGGTGAATTTTGGTTTTAAACTGTGTGTCAGATCTAATAATGGTGAGATTAAGAAAAGATAACTGTTTATTGTTTTCGTGTTCTATGGTAAATTTGATGTTGGGATGAATGGAATTTATGTGTTCAAAAAAAGTTAGTGTGTGTGTTCTCTAGAAGTGAAACCACAGAACTTCAACTTCTAAACAAAGGCCTCAACTTTGTCGTCAACCACAAAACAGCTCCATGTCTAGAAGATCTAGCCAGAAGACTAGTGACCCACTACATAAAAGAACAAAAGACCACCTCTACATCAAACACCTCCAAATACAGAAAGAAGAAATCCATGACATCAACCAACAGACTTGAACGCATGTGCTCCACATCATTGTAACTTCTGTATTATTAGCTAGGCATGGCTGGAAGGTCAATATAATAAAAATAATATATATATAAATGTATAATGTTACGAGATTTAAGCTATTTAGACTAAACATTTGTGTTTTCATGTTATAATATATAGTTATTCTAGAATTACAAAAGCATAATTTGAATTTATTTCCTAATTTTGTATGGTGGTTACGAGGCCGGTCACATTGACAGACCCCATAGAGTTAGGGTAGAGAAAATAACATAAATATAGTTTTACTGAAAACAAACATTTGAGATTTTTGGGACGAGCAATAGTTTTTTTAGTTATAATATGAAAATCACTTTACACTTGGACTGGTAATGAATTAGACTATATTTTCACAAACAAATGTATAATAAAAATACTTCATTCAATTATCTGATTTTCTGTGTACAAAAAAACTTGTAATCTTTACTGAAAGTCTACCAAATTTTATGGAAATACATTTACTGCATTAAAAGTTATAGTATATATATTTAACTCGTGCATATTAGTATGAGTCTGTCATAAAAGGGTTAGCAGCATTTCTATAGCTAGTGATGAAGCATTCTTAACTATGTAACTTACATCATGACATTACATAATTCAAAGAAGGTGAGAAAAATGTGTAAAATTGAGTCAACTGCAAAAATGTTAAATCTACTTAAAGATTTTGACTATTAGGTGGATTAGTTGTGAAATGTGTGATGGTACCATCTGGTGGCATTGTGGTTTTAAAATAGCACATATGAAATTATTGGTTAATTTATTAGATCACTTGTGTTTGTTTTATGTAGTTTATTACAAAACTAATGATTTTGATAAAATTTTTTGTTGCATAATCTTAGAGTGAGTAATGGAGATAAGCTTGAACTAAAAATTAATTTTATTTTCAATGTATTTTCTCCACTTTTATAGGTTTTTAGCACCTTAATTTATAAAGAAAAATGAATGAATTAGATAGTCTGAGACAGGAGGCAGAAACCTTGAAGAACACTATTCGAGTAAGTAAACATTGTTTTTATTATTCACTTGAAACATTTGGCTGAGTTGATAAGCTCTTGTAAGTATTAAGAAAATATTTCTGTTATCTTTGCTGTTTTCTCGTAATCTAGGGTGAGTGAAAACATTTTTAAGAGGAGCTGTTAAATAATCAATGAAAATTAACCCATATATCTAGCTTCTAACTTCCTTTTTATTGTACAGTGCTCTGTACAAGAGATCAATGTAAGCTGTTTTTAGGATCATTATTTTTATGATTTACTCAGATGATTTGTTGTGGAAATGAAAAAGGTGTGAGGGATTCAAAAATTGGGACTGCATTTTATTAAAACCTGAAACTTTTCTGCACTGCATTATGGGTTAAAAAGATTATTTTAATTGTAAGACTTGGAGAATTTATATCAAATATATATATGTGTATCTATCAGTGTTATTCTCAGAATAAATTAGAGTATGTTCCATTGTATTTGGATAATGCATTTTGTGTCTTTATGGTCAGATGCCCTTTTCAGAAAGTGGACATTTTAACAAAGTACCACAAATAATTTTTTCTATTGTCAAAAGAGCAGTCACGCATGACACTGTACCTTTATATTGCATTTCATATAGTTTTTATTTTCCACAAAAATAGAAACTTTTATGTTTGTCATACATGTTATTTTTGAGGAAACCATCTTTAAATTTTTTTTTTTTTTTAATTATTAGTCACAGGAACATTGTTAAATTTAACATTGTCATTTTTAACCAAAACAAACAGCACTTGGTCTTTTATTATACTTGTTAGATTTTTGTTGTATAGTACAACATAGGATTAATACTGTTGTCTGTAAGACACTCAACCATTATTTCCAACAATTATTATTTACTGGGGACAGAAATGTTGTATTTTATTGGGAATTGAGCTTGTATCAAACTTTAAGTGTAAATGTATTTCTTAGTAGTTTTCTTTACCATAGGTGTTAACTTTCTGTAAAGATGGAATTCTGTCCTGAGATAAATTTTCATGTTTAAATTTGTTCCCTATTTTTCTAAAAATTTTCAGTCAAAATAAACACAGAATAATCTTAAACTGGTGCATGTCATTATTGGAAGTTTTTACATGTGCAGTGCATTAGCCATGTTAAATTTGATGATGACTTGGACTGAAATTGTTAAAATTAAAGAGGCCAACATTCATAAGCAAATACAACATGTCTGCCACGCAATCCAAGCATGGCCAATTTTGACACTAGAAAAATTGTGAAAAACACAGAAAAATAAAAAACTGTTATATCATTGTTTGATACCTGCAAGAAGGTATCTTTGTCCCAAATCCAATAAAAGTTGGTTGACATACACATGAATAGTTCACGAAAACCCTAAGTCATGCTTTCCTTGCTGAAAAATTGATCAAAAGACAAGAATTCTAAAATTGTCCATATCTCTGTTTGGGACCTGTAAAAAAAAAATGTATCTTTGAACCAAATCCTATGCAAATTGACTGAAATACGGTGGAGTAAATGTCAAAAAACCCTAAAATTGTGCTTTGGGGAGCATCTTGGAAAATGGGCAAGCTGACCATTTTATTTGTTAATGTGTGGGACTTGTAGAAAAGTAGCTTTGTACCAAATCCCATGTAATTTGGTCAAAATGCAACCGAGTAATAGACCAAAAACTCCAAAATTATGCTTTTCTGTAAGTTCTGACACCCCCCCCCTAAAATGATTCAGAATGGACAAATTGAACTGTTTCATATCTGTTGGGCACAGAAAATTTATTATTGTGTCAATTTTCATGTTGACTGCTGTAAATATGACTGCACAAAGCCCAAAATAATAGATTCATCTAGGCTATTCCATTTTCATCTACCAACCTATTACAAGTTTTATATACATATATATGTATAAACACCCCTCTTAATCTTCAAAATAATCATCCAGTTTCTTCATAACTCTTCTTCAGTGTTAGAATTGTGACCACACTATCTAGCTGAATTTAGTGTTTTTTTTTAATTTGATTTTATTACAGTGTTAGCAAACATTAAAATATTATATTGAAAGTTTATAAATCCATATTATTAAATCAGTTGTAGTAAATCACTGTTCTTCTCAGTTTATAAATATTTTTTGACATTATTTTAACTTTCCATGCTTGAAGGTTTTAAACGTGTCATTATAAAAGTTATTCCTTGCCATCAAATCAGGTTTGTGCAGAGGTAATCATCTTGTATATTGGAGATTATCCAAATTCTTCCTGAAAAGAATAATACATGTATCAATTAGAATATTTGTACATTTTTATGGGTGGATTTTGCTTACAAAATGTGTAATTTTCTATCAAATTAAGAATATTTTAAGTCAACATTATGAGAAATGTAATTTTACCAATATTATTGTCATAATTGTTGAACTCTTCCATTGTTCGAGAGTATGATTTCCTGCAATCTCAAATTAGTATTAATCATATTCATATAAAGAACCAGAAGAGTTCATTTGTACTTCTCCAGTTTTTTTTTTTTTGTCATGTTGATTTTGAGCACCAGTAAAACCATTCCTACTGCTCCAAATTGTTATTTTTTATCATGTTTATTTTGATTACAGAAAAAGTGCATTCTTACTTCTACAGTTTTTTGAGCTACCAAACATAGAGAATTTGTAGACTAGCACTGATACTATAGTATCTTCAAAAATTGTTTGTAAAAAAGACAAGTGCTCATAGCAAAATACAGTCAATTTATGAAGCTTTTATGAAAGATTTAAAGGGCATTTGTTTCATATTATGTTTGTATGTTTTTGGTTTAACTCAACATTCTAAAGACTGCTGAGTCGTAAAGTTCTCTACTTTCCTAAAGGAAATGTTGTGATTAAATATTTAATATAATCGTTGTTTATTTATAGCTCTCTTAAGGATGGGATTATTGTTTGTGATTGCTTTATTCACTGATCAATATTAGAAAAGAGGTCTTTCCTAGAACTTAATCAATATCCTCTGTTCATGGTGGGGGGGGGGGGTATTGCTGTACCAAACTGGAGACCACTTGAACAAAATATAATATATATACTCAATAACATGTAATACACTATCCTAGAGATGTTACAGCATACTAGAGATTTTATTTCAAACAGTAATTTTACAGAAATAATTGAAGGCATATAACATCATCATAAACTTAACAGAAACCATGAAGTTTTATCACCATTGGAAATTATGAAAAACATGTAACTGTATCATAAATTATGAGGAGCTATATGAAAAGAAAATCTAAAAATGTAATTTAATTAGAAACTGTAAAAAATCTTGTAGATTTATTAGAAATCATGAAAACATTTTTATTTTAGTAGAAACCACAAGTTTAACACTTAAAATCATGAGAAGCTCAGTTTTATAAGAAACCATATAAAGCTTGTAGTTTTATCAGAACTTGTGAAGCTTGGAATTTTATCAGAAGTAATTAAAGGATTGTAACACTATCAGGAACCATAAAGAGCCTATAGTTTTATCAGAAACCTTAAAAACTTTTAGCTTTATCAAAAAATGTGAAAAACTAAAATAAATTGTGGTTGTTTCAGAAATTTTAAACAGCTTGTAACTTTATCAGAAAATATGACTAAAATAAATTGTGGTTGTTTCAGAAATTTCAAACAGCTTGTAACTTTATCAGAAAATATGAAAAGTTTTAAGGTATCAAAAATATTAACTTTGTAGTTTTATCAGAAACTATATAAAGCTTCTAGCTTTAACAGAAACTATGAAAACATTGTAGCTCTTTCATAAATTATGAAAAGTTTGAGAGAAATAATTAAAAGCTTGTAACTTCGTCAGAAACCCTGAAAAGGTTGCAGCCTTATTAGAAAACAAAACTTGCTTTATCTGAAATTATGAAAATGTAATTTCTCAAAGATTATGAAAAGCTTATAACTTTAACAGAAATTATGAAGAGATTTTAATGTTACCACCAACCATGTAAAGCTTGTTGCTGTAACAGAAAGCTTGCCAATTTGTAATTAGTTTTGAATAGCTTGTGACTTTATCAGGAACTATAAAAAATTTTGTAGCTTTGTCAGAAACTATGAAAACTGTAGCTCTATCAGAAATCATGAGAATCTTGTTACTTTATCAGAAACATAATATTTGTAGTTTTGTCAGAAAATATGAAAAGCATTTAGATTTATCAGAAATTATAAAAAGGTTTTCAATTTATCAGAAACAAGGAAAAGTTTGTATCAGTATTTGAAACTGACTTATTTTAAGATTAAGACACATATGATGTAATTATTGCATTCAAATTTGTTATTGGGGCTTGTCATCACTTGTAGGTGTGAAGACATGGTCTTTAGACTGTAGGTTATCAAAGTTAACATCATTTGAATTTCCATGAACAGGATCTATGTATTGTTCTGTAGTATTTGAGTATGTCATTAGCCATGCTGTTGATTTCCATAATATTATCACGAGTTGTATGGTCATTAGGCTGTCAGGATTATCAGTGTTTGAATTTGTATAAACAGTGTTTGTTGTTAAGGTATTTCAGCTTTTATGTGTGTGTGTGGTTAAGATTATCCATATTTGACTGTATATATATGTATATTGTTTGTGTTTTCCTGGTTGTCAAGCTAGTGAGTTGTGTTTTTAATGAACAAAACCTTTCCAAGTTTGATTTGTTTTCAAAGCATTCTCACATGAACATGTTTTTATTGAATAAAGCTTTTTCATGTTTGATTTGTTGTTAAGGCAGGGCCACATGAGTGTGTTGTTTTGGAAGAATGTGCTATGTACATATTTTGTGTTTTATAATATGCAAAAGTCTGCTAAAGATCTTTAAATTCAAACCACTCTTAGAACCAACCATGAACATTATTAAAAGAGCAAACTAAAGCTAATGATTTTGTGAGTAGTAATCTTTTGTGTTCATTGTCGTATTCTAATTTTGTTTCAACATATAAACATATTACGTGTAGGCAATCAGGTTGTAAAGGAAGTTTTTGATCACCAGATCAATATATAAACCTACTCTTATTTTTCA